TGTGAGACTGAGGCAGGTCGATCACCTGAGGTCAAGAGTTCGAGACCAGCCCAACCAACATGAGGGAACCCTGTCTCTACTAAAAATACCAAAACTAGCTGGATGTGGTGGCAGATGCCTATAATTGCAGTTACTGGGGAGGTTGAGGCAGGAGAATCGCTTGAATCCAGGCGGTGGAGGTTGCAGTGAGCCAAGATAGTGCCATTGCACCCCAGTGTGGGCGATAGAGTGAAACTCCATCTCAAAAAAAAAAAAAAAAAAAAAAAAGATCATTGCAAACCTTTTGTGTGTTTTTCATATATGCTTGCAGAGGGTTGTAAAATTTTATTCTGATTATTCGTGCTTTAAGCTGAAACTTTTCTAATCTTTCTTTAGCAATTGTGGAATAGCATGCTATTTCCTTTCCATATTCAATTGTTTCTTCTGTATTTATTACCCTAGCTATAGAATTCTGTCTTTTGAACCTCTTGTGCAGTTTTGTATGGCCATGTGACTAAGTTTTAAGCCAATAATTTGTAAGCTGTGTGCTATGAGTACCTTCTAAAAAACCTTCCTCCTTCTTTTCTCCCTCATTTTCATTACAGTAGTCTGGAGTGAAGATTCAATAGCTGGAGATCAATAGTCATCCTACGTAATGCAGGCAGGAGTGACAGGCCACACGGTCTGTTAACTCCCTTACTGGAAGACAAATTTCACAAGACTAAGAACCTTTCATTAGTTCAAGCAATATCCCAGCACTTACGCACAGTGTGCAGCATGTTTGCTAAGGGCTCAGGTATTAAATGAGTATTGAATGAATAGATGTATTAATTGATTTACTCTGGAGTCATAATTAACCAAATCTGAGCTCATTTCACAGAATCAAACTCCCAATTAATTCAAATCACACTAATCTGTTTCTCTTTGTTCTCTCAGACTTGCCAATGTCATGGGCGGATAGGAGTTTTTCTTAATTTACTTCAATATTGCATTAAATCAAAATGTTTTAAAATCTGTTTTTATAACAGTGCTTCCCAGTAATTTCCTGTTTAGAAAGTTCAAAATTCTTCCATTTTGAAAGTGAGGGATATCTTTTTGATTGTGTCTGTTGTTAAGTGCAGGAACTATTTTTTAACTTTAAATAGACATCCTCTCAAGTCTACAAGAATTATCCAAAATGGGATCTAATGACCTTTCTAGGTTTTCAGACACTATTAATGCAGACTATAGCCACTAGGTCCTGATGATTGTACTTGACATTGGTTACTGAAACTGAGCTTTCTTGAATTCTTTTTCCTTCCACTGTGGTTTTTCGCATTTCAGCATATCGCCTATTTTTGTCCTCAAACTTCACTGAAATATTTTCAATGGAATTAAAGAGGAATCATCCCTCCCATGTTTTTGAAATGACCCTTTGCTTCCTATAATAATGATTCTTCTGGTCCTATTTGTAATTACTTATGTTAAAGTTTGTAAATATTCATACGTTTTACAATTGCGTATAAATTTCTTCTTATTTTTCCTCTTTCCCTAAAGTTGTTGTTATTTCTCTTAACTCTTTGTGGGAAAAATTAAGCCCATCTTTGACTTTCTGGATATCCTTATTTATAATTGAACTCCGTGATTTTTGCTCAAATTGCGTTTCAAGTTACCCACTTTTAGGGAAGCTATTAGTGTATCAAGTTTTTTTTTTTTTTTTTTAAGTCTTTTAATATAAAGGTCATCAAAATATCTCTTCCTAAACCTTTCCTCTGGAGAAATATCTCTGGAGTCACATAGCCCTTTCTCCCTTCTTGCTTTTGTAGGACTACAAACCTAATCTCTTCCTGATCCAGATTGCATGCATCTGTGCCTTTTGGGGGCTCTTGTGCATTCATTCTTCCTTCTCTTCTAACCTCAAAAATGTGTTTTCTCTGTTGGCTCTTCCCCTTTAACGTAGAAGTATGCTCATGCTTTTGTTGAATCTTGAAATAAAAGGCTTTCTGTAGCACATATCTCCGTTTAAGTACTACTACATCTCTCTTCTCAGCCAAATACTTGGGAAGAGAAGCCCTTAGTTTGTGTCATTGTTTTCTCACCTCCAGTTCACTGCTTTACCCACTGCCTGACATGTAGCTCACTCTCACACATGCACAAGCTCAATCACTAAGTTGCCATAGCTGATTTGTAGCTTTCATGCCCTCCTAGCAAAATCTGACTCTGCGCATTGGGATATTACTGAGTAGCTATTGACCAGGCACTGTGCTAGGTGCTGCTGTTACAGAATGAAATCAGACGTCATCTTCTTTCTAATGACCCACAGGAGCAGCCATTCCTGATTGCTAAGCTGGTCTCTTGACTCCGAGTGCTCACTTTTGCAAGCTTTACTTAATGTTCCGTAAATCACTCTGTTCTCCAGGTCTTCTTTCTTTCCAATTCTCCTTACTATACACAACTTCTCAAGGCAATCACTTCCATGCCCATGGCTTCAGTTGCATTCTATATTCTCTGAGGACAATAGAATTTTAAATTTAAAATGTTAGCTTTATTTTATGTAAGAGTCGTCATTTGCTATAACCACAGATTCAGAGTTACTCCATGAAAGTAATAAATAAAAAGTGGTGATATTCTTAGCATGTAAATTTTAGGAAATTTCCCCAATTACTCTTAATGGTTGGATTTAGTATTTGTGCTATTTTTGAAAACATATGTTTGGATGTCACAAATGGACTTAGCCTACAGTGATTTATATTCAACTTTGACCAGAGAGTTCCATTTTAATGTGACACTGAGCGTAAAAAACTGTCTTTTCCTCCTTAGCGATTTCTCTTCCTACATTCTCTGACAGGAGAAAGGTACAACTCTGTACCCGGCCTTCCCCAGCAGAGCCCGTGCAGCCCTGTTTTTCCCTCTACTTCCCTGCTTTCACATCTCATGACCGAGTACTTCCTATTCTGTCTCCCGAGTAATCACAAAATTTTTCCTCCACTTTTGTCACTGCCACTGCCTTTAGCATCAGTCTTCCTTTAGATAGTCTCTTAATTGGTCTTGTTGCTTCCTTCAGTCCTTTCTTATTATACAGACCACTACACACACATCTGACAGAGACTCCTCACCTTTGTATGGTTCAATGACTCAAATTTTCAGAATAAAATTAAATCTACCCCAGCATCAAATTTGGGGCCAAATAGAGGTGGGTTTCTATCTCAGGTTCATATACTGTTCAGTAATGTGGTCTCACAAAACTGAACTTCTTAAGCCTTTCACACATACAGTGTCTGGCACGTAGAAGGGACTTTATCAATGCTGAATGAACAGGAGGCATTTTAAAATTCACATCAAAAAAATATTTTAAAAAAATATACCAGTCTATAATGTCACTTCCCCTCCAAGCTTGACTTCTACCTGTACTTTCTGATACGGTTTGGTCATGTCCCCTCCCAAATCTCATCTTGAATTGTAATTCTCATAATCCCCACATGTTGTGGGAGGAACCCAGTGGGAGATAATTGGATCATGGGGGCAGTTTCCCCCATGCTGTTCTTGTGATAGTGAGTGAGTTCTCATGAGATCTGATGGTTTTGTATGTGTTTGACGTTGCTCCTTCACATGCTCACACTCTTTGGCCTGCCACCATGTAAGAAGTAACTGCTTTCCCTTCTGCTATGATTGTAGGTTTCCTTAAGGCCTTCACAGCCATGTGGAATGTGAATCAATTAAACTTCTTTCCATTATAAATTACCCAACCTCAGGTATTTCTTTATAGCAATGTGAAAATGGAATAATGCACTTTCTGATAATCACACTTGAGGAATTGGGAAACTCATACCTGAGATCAAATAATGGCCCCAGCCTGGGCAGTCATGTGACCTTGGGGAGATAACTTACCTTCTCCATCTTAATGTCTTCTCTAAAACTGGTGAGATTATTTCTGAGGGCTAAATGAGCATAGCCCACTTGGAACACTATCAGGCACCTACTGCTTGCTAGGCATTCAGTATTCATTTTTATTGAGTTAGGACTCTGGTAACCCACTTTGCAGCTCTTGATTTTGTATAACAAAGTCATGCTTAGTGCTTTGTTAGTAAAAGATAGAAAATCTGAAAGTCCCTACCATCAAAGGAAGAAACGGGAGAAAAGGAAGTTGGTAAGTTTCAGCACTTTAGAGCTTGGGGGGACAAGTTAGGTTTCTATTTTATGGAGGAGGTGGAGGCAGGGTGGATTCTAAGGTGTCATTCAAGACACACAGCCATAACTCTTTAGTGAGAGTAGAGCTAGGGCCCCAGGGATTGCTGTGGTCAAGTTGCAGACAAAAACTACCACTCACTGGAAGACAGGAGAGGAATATTTCAGGTTTATCTACATTGAATCAACAAATAAAAGTTGAACTTGGTTGCTAATAGGACCTACTCTGCTAACTGCCAATTTGTATAGAACTCCTAGAGGAAGATGGCTTCCAGTAATGAACCACCCTGTTTTTAGGACTTAAAAGCTCAGGAAGCTGGTGTTGATGAATGAAAACCTTAGTTCCACTGGCACTGAAGGAGGGGCCAGGAGAGCAGTGGCATCATAAGCCACAGGGTGAGGCCGCGGGGGAGGGGCGGCAGCAAGGCTGGGGCATTGTGAGGTGGGAGACAGGGCATTGTGAGTCACGTGCCTGGGCTTCCACCTGGGCCAGTGGGCTTCAGTCTGTAGGTGACTGCAGGAGGAGCAGCTCCTTTTGTACTCTCTTCAGGCAGTTGTGTCTCTCAGCGCTTGTTGGGTTCCCAACCTATTAAATTAGCCACCTATTTTTGACCTTCCCAGACAAGTCAACTCAGGAGAGGCGGCAGGGTGCGGGCCTTGGCCCGAGCCCCGGCTGGGGCCGGGCTGTGGGGTGGGCAGGCGAGCCGAGGGCAAGACCATCTCTGAAAGTGCAGCCTAGCCTCGGCCTAGGGCAGCAGGCGTGCCTGGCCAACACTGTGAGCGGAGGCACAGGTAGCGGCAGACAGGAGTAGAGGCGCCTCATGGGGAACATACTGAGCTGCTGTGTGTGCCCCAAGGTGTGCGAAGAGTCGGACCAGGATGAGGGGACAGAGCATTCTCCTGAGTCTGAAATCTGTGAGACAGCAGCTGAGGACACCACAGCACCTAAGGACACGGCAGCAGATGAGGACAGGGCAGCAGATGAGGACACGACAGCAGCTGAGGATACAACAGCAGCCGCACCCACGGCTGCTGCTGTAGAACCTGCCGAGTTGACTGTTGAAGCTGGTGAGGTCTGTCCTGTGCACGACATCTGTGATGGGGAGATGCCTGAAGGTAAGGAGGTGAAGGGGCCATCTGCCCTAGCCACCCCTTTGGCTGCTGGTGTCTTCAAGTTCCCCTGGGGGGCATCCCCTCTCGGGCTCCTTTTTTCCTGTAGCCAGCTTTTCCAGGGCTAGTCAGAAACAAAGGCTGGCTCTGCCTTGCATTCCTTTTCCCACCGCTTAGTCTTTCCCCACGGAGTCCAGTTAATTTCTTTTCTCCTCCCCTCCCAAACACTCCGTTCTTGCTCCCTCATCTCATTCTCTCAGGCTAGCCTGGGACCATCTTCTTGTCTGTAGCTCTGTTTATTATTCTGTGGGATTTTGTTGAGGCATTTTTGGAATTCTCTTCCTTTTTCAATAAAAACTCAAATACCCCCACTTTCCAGTACCCTTCTCATTCTTTTTTTGTACCTATCCAGATGGTACCTAAGTGAAGGAACCAGGTAAGTGCCTCCTAATTATTTCCTTCGTTAAAGTAGCTAAATCTCAGGACAATTCATACTGAAATATTTGGGGATTTCTTCTTTGAAATCAGAATGAAGTTTGCTGTGGGAGAGATGATAGGATATTCTTAATGGATTGCTTTAAGTCACCTTGATAGGTGCTTATTTTTTTTCTAACTGTAATTTGAACACAAAAGGAAAGAAAACGAGGGGGTGCTTAAAGTAATTGTGAAAGGTGTGAAATGTCATGGCCAGGGCTGCAGGAAAATGGGTGTTTGTTTTCCCCCAAAGGAGTTTACCTATGAGGCTCTGATGACTTTAAAATTCTTACTTTAACACAAAATATGTCTCTAGATTTATTCAGCTGACTTAACAGACTTTATTTACCTCCTTGTTCTAAAAGAGAGGTAGGCATCGTTCATGGTCAAAGCTTTCAAAAGACATGAAATGTCAATTCGACTTTTAACATGTAACATAAAGACTGAAGGTTAAAACTGTGCAGAGTGTTTGCTGCCATGGCTCTCCCTTTGTCCTTCCCCCACCTGACAATAGCATCTTGTTCAAAGATAAGAAAGTAAAGCATAAGAAGCTGGAAGCCATCATTCTCAGCAAACTAACACAAGAACAAAAACCAAACCCCACATATTCTCTCTCATAAGTAGTAGTTGAATAACGAGAACACATGGACACAGGGAGGGGAACATCACACACTGGGGGATTCGTTATGGGGTGGGGTATGAGGGGATGGAGAACATTAGGATGAATACCTAATGCATGTGGGGTTTAAAACCTTGATGATGCGTTTATAAGTGCAGCAAACCACCAGGGCACATGTATATGTATGTAACAAAGCTGCACGTTCTGCACATGTATCTCAGAACTTAAAGTAAACAAAACAAAACAAGACAAAACAAAAAAATAAAACCAACATTGGTTGGGCTCTTAGTTTTTTCCAGAGGTAGAATAATTAAGACTCATGATGAATGTGACTTTGTAACTTGGAGTACAATACTCACTTTTCAAGACGTTTAAGAATTTTGAATAAACAAATATGTGAATTGATTATACCTTTATACACAAAATGTGTAAGTACTTCTGTAAACTTATACTCTGGTTGCTGGTGTAAGGAAAGCCTGTGAGTGATTTTACACAGCAGTTCATAGATGGGTGGTGTTGGATTAGAGAACAAAAAAGGCTGTTTATTGCTATTCTTTAGGATTACAATACAGTTTATGTATGTCTCTTTTGGCCCCTTCCAATACAAAGAAGGCTTGTGTATGTTCTCTGTATGTATTCCTAATGAAGAAATGAAGACAGAGATCTCACATGACTATTGAGGACAGCTGCTCAATAGAACTAATATTCTATGTCTTCAGAATGACATGGAAGTGACAAATATGCTGAATTTACTTTTTAAAAAATTTTTAAACTCCAGAATACATCTTATATTTTGTCTATAAAATAGGCCTCTCTTTTAAAATGTATTGCCATCTTGATTTATTTTATACAAAGCTGATTTTACACATCTCAAAGGGAACATTTAACTCTTTTTTTTTTTTTTTTTTTTAAATAAAAAAGAGTCTCACTATGTTACTCATGCTGGCCTAAATTCCTGACTTGGGTCCGAGGGATTTTCTTATCTCATCCTCCTGAGTAGCTGGGAGTCCAGGCATGCGCCACCTTGTCTGGCCTCGTCTTATGTCTATACGTTCATGACAATGGATAAGGATAAAAGTGGAGGTATTAAAATGTCCTTATAGAATAAATGAGTTGATAAATTATTATAATGATCACATCTTTTTTCTTTTCTCTCTGTATAGATAGGACTTTGGAGTCCGACCCTTCTGATCATCCAGAAGCAAAGAAATCTCATGCAGGTGGTGAGACAACATTGTTTTTTTCCACCAAGAAAAAGAATGAAAACTCTTGTTTGATGAGGTGTATAATAGAAAGTGTTTAGCAAAACTCATATTGGTTTAAATTTTTTAAAATTTTCACCTATTCACTTGTGTTATTTTAACATGTGATATATTTTCCTTTAGTTGTTATGTTAGTGAAAACATGTCAGCTTTTTGTTTATACAGTTTCCCATCTTTTTATCAACACATTTTGTCATGTAAGGGAGGAGTCTTAGATTTATCTTTATGTTTAATTTTTTGTCTCTTTTCCCAATGGATAAGAATAAAAGTAGAGGTAGTAAAATGGCTTCCTTTTCGAATAAATGAGTTGATAAATTGTTATAAGTGATTACGTATTTTTTCTTTTCTCTCTGTATAGATATGGCATTAGAGTCTAACCCTTCTGAAGCAATGAAATCCCAAACAGATAGTGAGACAACATTGTTTTTTCTGCCAAGAAAAAGAGCAAAAAATCTTGTTTGATCAGATGTATTATAAAAAGTATTTAGGAAAACTCATATTATCCGACACAGTAGGAGGTCTCTTTCCCCTCCTGGATTTCCCCTCTGGGGTCCTGCTTCCACACACTCTCTCTTGGGGAAGCTTTCTCTCTTCTCTGTTTCTCTCTGTCTCTCTCTAAATAAATCACTTTTCTGCAAATAAGCAAACAAAAAGAAAAACTCATATTGGTTTAATACCAGAATGAGAATTTGCTTCTTACCATGGGAATGGCACCAAGCCATTCATAAGGAATGCTCCACTGTTACCCAAACAATTCTCACTAGGCCCTGTCCTCAGCATTAAGGGTCCCATTTTAACATGAGATTTGGACAGGGAGACATATCCAAACCATATCAGAGGTGTATTTCCCAGTTCCTTCCGGAGACATGGGTTTCTCACACCTGGAGAGCATGAAAGCAGAAAAAAGAAAAGCTATTCCATGTCCTTCACACTTCAGTGTTAGGAATGTTTGCCTACAAGGCCCTTCCAGCATTAAAGGTGGAGGCAGTGTAGCAAACAAAGCATGGCCCAAGTCCCTCTTGGAGCTTTTATTATCCTGGCTTTTTTTTTTTCTGCAGATGCTATGTCCAAATTAGGTTTGTCTATTTATTTTAAGATTTAAATTTGGCCGGGCGCAGTGGCTCATGCCTGTAATCCCAGCACTTTGGGAGGTGGAGGTGGGTGGATCATGAGGTCAGGAGTTCAAGACCAGCCTGACCAAAATGCTGAAACCCCGTCTCTACTAAAACAAAAACTAGCCGGGCATGGTGTGGTACATGTCTAATCCCAGTTAGTCAGAGGCTGAGGCAGGAGAATTGTTTGAACCCTGAAGGCTGAAGTTCTAGTAAGTCAGCGTCACACCATCGCACTCCAGCCTTGAAACAAAAGATTAAATTTAAGATAGGTTACTTTTCAGTTGTGTAAAGACCCTGTTTTTGTTTGTTTTGTTTCTAGTGACATATTAGTAGATGACCACTGATTGTGGTTGGAGAGGCTTACAGGGATTCTGGTGCATCTAGAGATAGGTGCCTGGCCAGGAAGTAGTTCTTAAGAGTTGTTAGCTCTTAGATTCTGGTAATTAAGCTATTTGTAAATACAGAATGGGAGAATACTAATGGATCATGGCTCATACATGCAACAATTAAATTTTTTAATTAGCTAAATTTTTCATCTGGCCTAATTTTTGTGCCCTTTTTTACATGAGTATTATTTCACTCATGTAATAAAAACAGAAAGTAAACTAGGTTAAAAAAAAAAAAGAATCTCAGTTTTTACATTTTACTTTATGAGATTTATTATGCCAGAGAGTTTAAATTACAAATTGTCAATATTAATTCTTTTAAATGGAATTTTCTCTGATTGTACATAGGAGTAGTCAGTAAGGTGTTAACAACTACTTTTATTTTATATTATTTGTGTGAGAAGTGACCGGTTTTTTTTTTCTTTCTTTCATTCTTAGCACAAGAAATAGGAGAAAGCAGCGGTACAAACCAGGTAAGTAAACAGTCAAAAAGTTGAAAAATTGGTAGTTTGATGTAAAAGTATGTCCCTCTTGATTCCTTTAAATTACAATGGGGACCCAGTGGTGATAGGTTGGACCTCGTTTCATGGATTTTCTGAATCTCTTCTACTTTCCTATCAAATTTATCCCGAAAATTCTTCAGCTTAGTGTGCCCACCTTTTAAGGATTGCTGACACTCAAGTTAAATTTCAATAGTTGGTTGTGGTATAAAGATCTGCTTTAAGTATTTAATCTTATTTTTAATGAAATAACAAAAATAGAAGAGCTAAGTTAATTGTCAGTATGGTCTATTGACCCTCTGTCACAGCAAGTGAAAGCGTATCTTCCTTGTTAACCATGACCTTATTTTTCTCCCTCTGTTTCTTTCAATTGTAGCACACTTTTTAATTCAATCAGTAATATTGACATGATTATGACTATCCAAATATTATTCACTGCTGAGTTATATGTTGTTTTCACTGTGTCTCTTCATTACATATTCCTTCATCCTTTCTCTGAAACAGTTCTGAAATCTGAGCACTTCTGCACTTCTTCTGGATCATCTTTTTTTTCCTAGCCTATGCTGGTTTATCCAGCCAAATGCAGTAAGTAGACTCTGGATGGTCTGCCACTTTATTGAAAAATAATAATTATTGTTAAGTTATATTTTACATGTAATTTACATTTCACATCCATTACTTTTTGGCATGAAGCTAATTTTCTGACTATATTCATTTGCCTGTTTTCTAACAGCTGATCCCTTCCCCCCCAAGTGTTGTGGTATTTATCACATGCATTTCAAAGATATTTTCCATCTGCTAAAACATATCTGTTCCTCTTTGTTTTTGGTGGGTGGTGGGCAGCCTTTTTTTGGCCTTTTGTCATTCTAGTTCAGTATAGAATGGCTTTCCCTAGATATGCTTGATGTCTTAGCCTATCTGTGCTATCTCTTTAAAGTGTTTTGGGATCTCACATAACTGCCACCTTGTGTGGGATCACCTGAGTCCTAGACTCTGTGTTTCCTTCTGTCCTGTTATCCTCTCTAGTTGTACTTAAGCACACTTTCCTCGGCAGAGATGTTTAGAGACCTGAGCAGTCTTAAAATTCTTCTTCCTTGATAGAGAGTAAACTTCTAGGTTGAATCTAAATTTTATGGTTCTGAAGATATTCTGCAATTGTGCTCTCGTCACAGTGTTGTTCTTGAATCTATTGCCATTGTGTGACACGTTATTTATAACCGTGTTTTATGTATTTTTGGAAGCTTTTTCAGAGTTTTCTGTCTTTGAGATTCTGAAATTTCATAATCACAGCTTGATTATGGGGGGATCTTTTCATTTTACTGAGGCTACTAAGTCTGCAGACTCTCTCTTTTTGAGAATGTTTTTTATTTTCTATGTTCCTTTTTTCTGATAGTCATGTTAATCAGTCGCTAGGCTGCTTAGACCAGTAGACCTGCTTTGGTTTCCAATTTTTTCCCTTCAATTTTTTTCAGTTTGTCTTTTTATTCTACGTCTGGGATATGCTATGAGTTTATCCTCTACTATATCTATTGAATTTTATATATATTTTAGAGTGTTTTAACATTTTAAAAAATGTTTTGCTCCTGATTTTCACTGGTCCCATAAATTTTGTGTGTGCTCTTTCAATCTTTCTTGTTGGAGGCTTTTCTCCAATGTGTGGTGGTCCCTGGCTTGCTTGGTTGATTTGGAAGCAGGACTTCTGTTAACTGATGGCGCTCAGTATGAGGTTGTTGAAGCAACTAGCTTTTCATTTGGGAGACCTCAGTGTATTATCTGGGGATCTTTATTCGAGACAGTTTAGTTTCTTGAGAATGTTCTCCCAAGTTGCTGTGTGGCTACTTGCTTTCCAAAAGCAGACTTAGGGAAGAAATTTGGAGTTCCATTTTTGGTGTATAATTTTCTTTATATCTCAGATTTAATCTATGGTAGTTGGGAGCCAGAAATTCTCAGGTTTGGTATATCCAGGGAACACACATTTAAGTTTATTGTCAGATGGGAGAACAGGTGGACGTGAGTCTCTAACCACAGATTTTCAACTGACCTTGGTGGCTTTGTTTTACATTTTACACACTTTTCAAAGTGCTATTTGCCTCTAAGTTCACAGCCCACCTTTAGTTATGCAAGACAAACTGCTCGCTTCTGTTGCAGTCACTTTCTCTTTTTTTTCTTGAGACAGAGTCTTGGTTTGTCACCTGGGCTGGAGTGCAATGGTGAGATCTCAGCTCACTGCAACGTCTGCCTCCTGGGTTCAAGCAATTCTCTGCCTCAGCCTCCTGAGTAGCTGGGATTGCAGGCATCTGCCATCACAGCCAGCGGATTTTTGTATTTTTAGTAGAGATGGGGTTTCACCATCTTGGCCAGGCTGGTCTTGAACTCCTTGGCCTCCCAAAGTGGTAGGATTATAGGCATGAACCTCCTCACCCAGCCTCCAGTCACTTTCTTTAGGCATCATAGTTGTGCTTCTGTGTTATTTACCACTCCTTTATCTACTTTTTATGTCTCAGCATTTATTAAAAATTATCTCTTTTCAACCTTCTCTCCTGGTGCTGTGTGTCATCTTTATTTTGTGACTAATGAGATGTCTAGGGGGAGAGGAAATAGATTTGTGATCAACCTGTTATATTTAATCCAAATTTAGGACGTATATTAAAGTGTAAATCAAAGTTTAACTTCAATATCATTAATGATATTAACCCAGACAATTTTTTAGTGATGTATCTATAATAAGCATGTTACAGTTGTCTTCTAAGGCCTTGTTTGATATTTTCATTTAAACTTTGTACACTCTCATATTATCCCATTACTTCACAACATAGATGGACCTGTTTTCATGAATGCTCACAGTGTTAGAAATATTTAAGTTAATTAAGATATGTTTACTTTTAGCCTGGTCAACATAGCAAGACCTCATCTCTACAATATGGTGAAATAACAAATTAGCCAGGCATGGTGGCATATGCCTTTAGTTTTACCTACTCAGGCAGCTGAGGCAGAGGATTCCTTGAGCTCAGGAGTTTGAGACTGCAGTTAACCATCATTGCATCACTGCCCTCCAGCCTGGGTGACAAAGTCAGAGCTTGTCTCAGAAAAAGAAAAAAAGTTATTAATAGTTTAAAAACATGCATAAAATTTGTCCTGCCACAAAGGAGAGAGAAAAACATAAATTTTAGTTTTTATTTTATTTTGTTTATGTTTGCTGAGAAGATTGCTATAGTTTATTTATCTATTTTTTATTTCCATAGGGTTTTGGTGGGAACAGGTGGTATTTGGTTACATGAGTAAGTTCTTTAGTGATGATTTGTGAGATTTTGGTGCACCCATCATCTGATCAGTATCCACTAAACCTGATTTGTAGTCTTTTATCCCTCACCCTTTTCCCACACTTTCCCCTGAGTCTCCAGAGTTTGTTGCATCATTCTTATGCCTTTGCATCCTCATAGCTTAGCTCCCACATATGAATGAGAATATACAATGTTTAGTTTTCTATGCCTGAGTTACTTCACTTAGAATAATAGTCTCCAATTCTATTGAGGTTCCTGGGAATGCCATGAATTTATTCCTTATTGTAACTGAGTGGTATTCCTTTATATATGTGTGTGTGTGTGTGTGTGTGTGTGTGTGTGTGTGTGTGTGTGTGTGTAAAATGTATATAAAATGTATATAAAATATATACACGTATATCACAATTTTTTATCCCCTCATTGACTGATGGACATCTGGGCTGGTTCCATATTTTTGTAATTGAAATTTCTTTGAGTTCCTTGTAGATTCTGGGTAATAGCCCTTTGTCAGATATATAGAGTGTGAAGACTTTCTCCCACTCTGTGGGTTGTCTGTTTACTCTGCCGATTGTTCCTTTCCCTGTGCAGAAGCTCTTCCGTTAAGTCTTACCTGTTTGTTTTTGTTGTATTTGCTTTTGGGTTCTTGGTCATGAAATCTTTGCCTAAGCCAAGTCTAGAAGGGTTTTTCCAAGGTTGTCTTCTAGAATTTTTATGGTTTCA